TATATATATATATATATGTTTGCGAGATAGTTATTTATTAATTATAGAATATATCTTCAGGATCACACAAAGAATTCTTGTATAGCATACACATACATACACATATATGTATATAATACTATACATACATATTATATATATGTGTGTATACAAGAAAAGATAATAGCGTTATTATTTTAAATAAACTATTCTTGCGCATTCAAGATCACTTGTTTTGAATACTCTCATGCGAGTAATAATTTACTTTATATGTTTCCTCTCAATGAAACTGTATCATCTCTCCATTTACTTATAGATAGGAATGTACACGTATAAACGATGTATGCAGTTAATGCAGTTTTTTTATGTAAAGTCAATAATAAATCGTTATTGCCAATTAAGTAGCTACTTTCATGTCGACAGCCTTTGTCTATCGTCACGTTTTTACTACGCAGAATGGATTGCCGTTTTCCACCTCGACGCGATTTGGCAAACAACGATAAAACCGCACCGTTTCCATTTGCAGCGAGCAATCGTCGCAATTAGCCCCGTTAAACGCCGTCGGGTTGACGGGTGGAGGGCAATAGCGGCAGTAGCAGCGACGGCGATCAAATCCTGACCAAGGCGTCCGTGTTCCAGGGCAAGCGAGGGAGTGGCGAGGGGATGAGGTGAAATTCCGCTCGATACAAATTCGATAAAGCTACCGGTGGCCCGCAGGACTCGCTCGTTATCCGGATCTGGCGGTCTGTTAGCCGCTACGTCAGAAAACTTGCAACCTTTCCTGTGTGTTACGCGACCGCGTTCCCGATACTTCGGGGAAGTTTAATTTGCCGGATAGCGAGACGCACTGTAACATCGTTCTCGCGGTGAATTCTTTCTTCAGAAGCGAAAACTCAAGAAGGAATTTTTGCTTCGGCTTGAAGCATTTAATCTTCAGAAGTTCAATGTTCCACTTAAAATTTACGAAAATTAATAGAGATTTTAATCTTTAAATTTAGTCTTGTTATAATTATTTTATTTTTAATCTCTTGACGAATATGTTAACATAATAATATAATATAATTTTGGTTTTTTAATAATATATAATTACTTCAAGATGAAAACATTCGTCTTGAAATAATTATATTATATTAACCATAATTATATTATATTATTATGTTAACATATTCATCAAGATTAAAAATAAAGTAAAAAGATTAAATATTCATCAGGTATTATCGGAAAAATATAGCTAACAATCGTTAAATGTCGCCTTGGATTATCAAAGGTGAAGCTAACGACTATGTCATATGCGTGCGAATACGAATTGATAAATTACACGCGTCAATTGTGATATTGATCGGTAACCTTCCTCGGAAATATTTTGTGCTTCGTTGAATAACAGGCGATAAGGGCTGTGTCTCGACTATTCCGAATTTCCAGAATCGATTATTGTAATCAGGACCATCGCCTGAACTGGTTACCACATCACAGAGATGCTTGCAGCGACCATAATCGCTTTTCGGTAATGTCGCTTTGTCCGTCGTCGTCTCATCAGCTTGTCGCAGCGGCGATCGCTTTTCGACGTGCTCGCCGCAAATTTCCAAAGGATTTCGGCCTCGAAAGCACCATCGAATGTGCATCCGGAATTACAAAGGTTTTACACCGAATCATAATTGTACAAAAAAAAGAGTTAATGACAAACATCTGTTATCAATTTTAACATTTCCGTAATAATTCTTTTGCATTTAAATCAGATCCCATTTGCTTCTGATTTAGCGTTATGATTCATATCGATCGTATCGAGGGCAATTTATTGTTTCTGACGGATGCACGTTTTCAGACGCAGGAAACCACGACGAGCCGCGAAGGGCCTATCAATCAAATCAGATCGAGCTCCACGTTGATGAAACGCGCATACAACTCGAGATCCGATCATGTTTGTCCAGCAAGCATGCGGAATCACGACTCTGACGATCATTTCTACAACAAGGAGAACTCGATCATTTGTAGTTGCTACCGGACAAGAAACGTCGGCGAGGACATTTCGGAACTGCGGGATGAGTGCAGTGGTGGAGATGCGGTCGATACCGTGCCAAGTAGAGAACGCGAGGAGTTTGCGTCATCGGACGCCGATCGTAAAAATGAATTTGTGAAATTAGTCGACCGAGACAGGTTTGTTTGCAACGTCTCGGCCTTGCAATGTTTTCAGTAAATGAACTAACGGTTAGAATCTTCGTCCTGTTATTGCGTTAGTATTATGAAAAGATCCGACGTTAAAAACTGATTTTTATCAAATCTCATAATGGAAAAGTTTTAAAATGACGTTTCACTTCTTAGGATTTTGCATAAAGGAGACAAAGTGCTATAATTAATACATTTTGAACTGCGTGGGTTATTGGTAATTACTGAATTTTTAATTCATTTTTCAGCCATTCATCGATATTTTTGACTATTAAAAGACACATAATTATGATGTTCTTCAGACTTTTACGCGTACTTTTTTCAAGGTAGTTATGTAGTTTACGACATAATAAAAGCGTAATATCAGGTTGTATCTCGCACTAATAAAATGAATTGCAATGCTCGCGAAACATTGGCATTTAACGATGTACCAAGACACTTAGGCTTATCCAAGTAGAACAACAAACTATTATGATATCAAAATAATGTCATCAAAATGATTCTAAAATGATCATTAAAGTCATTTTCAATCATTTCTGATTCATTTTAATATAATTTTGACATTGTCGTGACTTTCTGTAGATATATTTATAATCAAATCTTAAGATATTAATGCTCATTTCCATCAATGTAGATTAACTTTAATTTCGGTTAAACTTACTCTTCAGTTTTTTCTAATTTTTAAAACTAGAAAAAGTGAAGAGTAACCTGATAATAATCTATATTAATAGAAATGGGCATAAAACTGTTGTACAATCTTAATATATGACGAATCAATCACAAAGAGTATTAGCATTTTATTAAAACATTACTTAAGACGATCTTGGAATCGGCTATAAATACCACAATTTGAGATTATTTCTAAAGCATGTAATGCATATATAATTATAATAAACACTTCCTGAAATTAAGTAGCACACAGTGCAGTTTTAGTCACCGAGAATTATCCAGAGAATTACTCATACGCGGATGACAAGACATGACGCTAATGAAATTGGCATGAAACTTGTTAAAATATCTCTCATAAAATCATCTTCTTTTACGCGAATGCAGATGCGACGTAGCGTCAAGATCGACGGACGATAGCGACGCTGTCAGATCGATAGAACGGATCCCGCAATCCTCACATCCAACATCTTATCATCCTTGTAAAGCACGCTGCTCGTCGAGACCATGTTCGAACATGGATCCCAACGTAAATCCTCCATGTGACTCTGCGTCCTGTGAGAAGCACGACAAAGTCGCGTGCGGCGATTTTACGGGGGACAGGAGCAAGGAGTTCGCGTCGACAAGTTGTCACAGAACATCCATCGATCTTGGTGGTAATGCGGAAGAGGATATCGTTACTGGCGACACTCGGGGCCATAGTTCGAATGTCGACGACGTGTGGACGAGGGCGAATACTTTGACCAAATCTCATTCGACCCATCGGAAAATTGTAGATTCAACTTGGCGATGCCAGTGCGAGTATCATCCGCGCGAAGATTCTATTCCGAATCTGTCAAGATCGATGTGTGATCGTTGTCGAAATGAGTGCTACCATCGGCATAATTATCATTGCGATTGCTCCCATCGGCATTGCTGTTGTCTGCAACGCGATAGTTTGTGCATAAATATCAAAAGGTAATAAGGTTAATAAGAAATCTTTTTATAATATATTATATTAGAGAAAATCTCCAAACGTGAAGTCACGTGTTAAGAACACAAAATGTAGATGGAGGGGTTTTACTAAAGTATTCAAAAATTTAATTAAAAACAGATCTGAAAATAATTTTGTTGTTGGACTGTTAAAGTAATTACATAGAAGTCTCAAGTAGATGAGCAATGATGCGGTAAAAAATTTTGATATTCTAGCTATCACTTTGAACGTCTTCTACATACAATAATTATTTCGCTGTAAAAAATAAAATTATTTTTAGATTTATATTTGACTAAATTTTTAGATTAGATAGAGGTTTCAGCAAAACCTTTTCATGTAACATTACGCATGATAGCTGAATTGATTTGTGATGAATTTTTAAAGGATTTGTATTGTTAATAGTTTTTAATAACGTTTTCGACCGTAATGAGTTTAAACTAATAAATAGCAGAGCACGCAACATCAAATCCATCTCAAATCGATTTAAACTCGTTATAATGATCGAAAATATTATAAGATTTGGAGCCAATTTCGGATTGGTCAAGTTTTAACGACTGCGTATCCACGGGAATCTTACACTTAGTTTTCTTATATTATATATGTGAAGTATTGATCGTCATATATTTCATGTATTTCTATAATGAATTTTATAAAATATTATTTTAAAAAAGAAATTGAATGAATGGGGAAGGAGAGTAAGACGAAAGATATGTGATTGAGGGAATGAAAATGCCCCGCAGCTACAATCTCTGTTTAATTCACTCTCTTCGCATCATTCATATTGCAGATGTGAGACGCGCGAGAACGGCATCTCCGGCGAGAAAGCTCAACACAAAAGCTGGCGCGATCAGATGCGAGGCGAGAATAGTCGATTGTACGCGCGGCAGTGTTACTCGAAGGAGTATTCTGGAATAATACCCGCCTCTCGTGAGCGAAACGATGAGGAACGCAAGAAGAAGAAGAACGACGACGACGAAGACGAAGACGACGACGATAGCATGGTTGTTATCAATCACAAGGACTCCATGTGCATCCTCGCTGAAAAATATAAAGCCAGCAGGAAGTGGCGCGGCAGAAGGTGCGGGGATAGAGCGCAATCGGGGGACAGGACAGGGAACAAGGATGAGTGTAACAAATCGTTGACTTCGGAAATCATCGATCAGCCGGGATCGTCGCTGGAGATCGTAAACGCGGTTTCGCACGAGGGACCGAGGATGAGACACAGTTGCCGAGCTGCACATTGCGAGAACTGCGGAACCGCCGCGATCGTAAGAATATGTGGTCGTGTATGTAGTCAACACGAGCCGCCAGAGGATGAATTCGACCGATTGAAGCTGCCTTTGAACGAGACGGTTGTCACCCACTGTTGCTCAAGTCGACCGCCTTGTAGACGTGTCTTCTAATTCAATTTCATTCTATAAAACACGTTCATGGACTTTTTATCCCAATTTTTGTATTTTCTAGTTATTTTCAGCGTCCAACATTTGTACGCATGAACCATTGGAATAAAAAACGATTTAAAATTTATTTGAAATTTTATGTTTTTTTTTATCTACATTTTAATCGCGGTAGTAGATACTGTGCATAAACTATACAGCGATGTGCGTGAAAAATTTAAGCGAAATCCTCGCGCTTTTGCACCTTTCCCTGTTTCAACCGCATTGAATTTTTTCTGCGAGATACTTACTTACCCGCCATATATTAATGCAGCGAAATAATATAGCAGAGTATTATTCTACTATACGTTAAATGTTAAGAATAAAAATTATGTAAATCAAATTTTAGACAAGTCCATGAAATGGTTTAGTTCGTATTACTTGAATTAAATTAACTTTAAGTAATTAACTTATAATAGGACAATTAACTTTTAACTCGTTTTATTCAAATACGCGTGGAAGAGAGCCAGTTTCCATCTGGGAGAATTTTAAGCTCGCTACGGCACGTTAACGGAATTATCGAATATAAGCATGTGCATTAAAAACCATGGTGTCTCCGACATTTGGCTGCCTCCGGAGACGACTTTTCGCTTGCTGAGCTCTTTGTGATGGTTGTACGCTCGTTGTTTCTCTTCTCTTGCACTGTTCGCCCACAGCTTCCATGTTAATTGGCTCATCTCGTTGGTCTCTGGAAAGGATTCCGCAGCAAGCGACGCTTTTCCTTCCCCTTTCTGGAAAGTTCAGTTCTCTCTTCGATGCTAATATTACACGTTTGTTTTTTCGTCACGTTCAGATTCTATTTCGATCTCTCGATCTTCTTGCCAATCTTCCGGCACGCTAATTAAGTCCATCACTTTCTCAAATGATTCACCAGGTTCCTCTTCTGTTTACATGTTTAGAATATAATATTCCAGATAGCAAATTTTATTATTATTTTAACGTCAAAAATGACTTAATTTTGATATTTAAAATCAATAAACAGTTAAATTTTGTAACAAAAAAATCATCATTTTGATGTCAAAATACGCCATTTTGATTTTCTCTTAATTTAATATGTTTCTTAGATTACTATCTGAAATAGATTAGTATTTTTAAAGATTTATATAAGTTCAATCTCTTTTTCTCTCCTTCTCATTGTGATATCACATTTAAAATAAATGTTTTATACAGACATCGCTTATAGTACCTTGTGCCAAGCGAACAAGTGCTAATTGATTTTTAAAAGCACGTTGAAGTTCTTCGCCAGCTTTCGTCAAGTCCTCTTGATTACCAAATTCTGCGGGGATGTCCGCCCGAGTCATGACTTCGTCGAAAACCTTCTGATTCAAATTTTTGAGAATGTCTTCTGTCACTGTCGCTTTCGTTGATTCTACCGGTGATTTAGAGTTATTTTTTCTCTCGCGATACCGCCTGTAAGCTTTCTATATGATATTTGTGACAATTGAGGATTATTTCTTTTCAATTTTCTGTATATATTTGATATAAATATGATGTACGATGTATATAATTTTATATATAATTTGATTTGCTTACTTGTATAATAGATGCAGCTTTATCTGCTCTCATTGGTGTCAATCCTGATTCCTTGTACATCATATTCAACCAAGCATCTTCTTTGGATTCTACCTTCATATCTACCTCGCTTCTTTTCTCTTCCTTCTGCGATTGCACAGCCTCTGCAAGAGGCCGGAAATACAATTTGAAATACTATACTATCCTAATGCATTTAGAAATTGCAATCTAAGTGATCTTACGCATTTTCATTTTTAGGTTTTTCCTTGTATAGTAGCCGCGGTAAGTAGCCTGTATTAAAATGGTGGCTTTCGACGCCTCTGCTTGCGAAGCTCCTACCTTTCTCAGGATCTCGAGGGTCCTTGTTGCCGCTCCTTGCCAATGAATTATGCCATAGGGCTCGTTTAATAGCATCCTCTCATAATGCCCATGGAAAGCGGTCTGATTAATAACACCGAAAATTTCATTGAGCTGATTCAAAGAGCTGCGATCAGCATTAAAGATCCGTGAAGGTCTCTCTCTCTCTCTCTCTCCCTCTCTCTCTCTCTCTCTCTAGTTGAGTCTCGTATGGTAATTAACGCATACTTGTATTATCGTGGCATGCTTCTCCGCCTGTTCCAGCGGGATCTCCATCGCTTGCAGAATACTTTGCAGAGATATCTTGGATTTCTCGTCGTAAGTTGTGTCTGCGGTCGAAAGAGGAAGAATGTCTCTCGCTTTTTGTCCGTTACACGTTACAGAAATACCGCGCGCGGGTCTACCCGCCGCAAAATTGTTTTTCTACATAATTCATCGTGTAATTACCGTCGCGCACCTGGGTCGCTCGCATGTCCAAGTATGCGCGGAACGCCATCTGAAAAAAGTACGAAAGAATGTCTGAAATATTATTTAACTGCTGGATTCTTATCCGGCACGCGACAGTAAATTCTATACCTGAACCCTGGGCGCGGCGCGGGTGATCTGCTCCAAACTCAAGCCGCTCTGCTGAAGTATATCCACGATGGCTTGACTCCCAAATAAAATATTGCTTACGACTTTCACCGCGACTGGAATTGTACAATTGTACGACTGTAGAACGCGATGTACGATTATAGTGCGATTTACGATCGTCGCGCGTATTTTATCACACGCGGATGATATACGCGCGGTCATTCACTGCAACCTTTGAATTAACATAATGATTCGTGGGACAAATTGATACCAGTACGCATGCATGTAAACATTAGTAATTAATTAGCTTAACGTTCCAATTAGTGTCTGTTTGCGAATGATATACATAACATCAAGACATCCGAGGTTGTGAAACTGTTGTAGATGACAGAGTACCTTTTGCATTTTCCCGTGTGATCAAAAGGGCTTCGATATAATCAGCGATAAAGCAATAAATGTTCCTTGGTTGCGAGCGCAGAACCTTTACGGATCAGATAATAATTTAATCGTCCTTTGACGTGACGGCGGTAAGTCAAATAACGATTTCATAGAGCGAACCTCGCGTGCGATGTCGGTGCATAGTTCGCGTAATCCTTCCGGGACCTTACATATATGTTTAGCTCCATGTTTCTGGAGTAAAACGTTCATTTTCGTGATTATCGTTTCAGCTGAGTTGCTTGAATTTATCGACTCTTGCTCTTATCGCGAGTAATACGATGCGCAAAAGTTGCTAACTTTCGGTGGTAACGAGCGTATTGATGAAGCTATACAGAAGCTATATATAATGAAACAAGTATAGATCAGGCCACACAGTGTTAATGCCTGGATAAAATCATATCGAGATAAAATCATTAAAAATATGAATAAATCCCATTAACTTGTTATTGTTGTATAGAAATCACGTTAAAGTTATTCATTTGATAAGATTATTCTATGATCCCGAGGCATTTCTCAATAACACGAGGATAAATTGTTATTATTTATTTTGACATTGTTTTATTAACATTTCTACGAATTTCTTTGCTGACATTGTTATCCTCGAGCTCTTTCCTTGACACAGTGCCATTTTGCGCCGTTTGCAAAATGATCTCTACATTATCGTGGGGTATTCTGCGTTGACTGGGCCTGACGTGGAACACGCGGTCAGTTCCTCGTCGACTATGAGCGACGAAAGCCATGCTAGTTACGAACGCATGCGTTGTGTTCTCGGTGGCTCTGTCGTTTCTTGTCTTACTGCCATCGCGTGAGTAACTTACATAATATTTTGCTTCGCTTGTTTCCGACGTTGTCTTGCCGTTTCACCGAGTTTCGTGCGAAGAATGGCTACGAAAGTTTGCGACTTCGTGCAACGATTTAATTGCGAGATTAAGCATTCGCGTTCTCATTCTATGCGATAGGTATCATCGTGTATCGAATAATTAGACAAATCATCGAGCAATTAATGAATTTTATCTGGCGTGAATGAAAAATGACCTATAAAATCCGATCCGTAATAATCATACAACGTGCAATAATGAGAGTATTCTCAATATTAACACATCGTGATGTTTCTTCTGTATTTAAAATTAAAATAGAAATGTGACAGAGACCAACATAATTCCTGTTTGCCGGGTGACAATTAAATATTCATGAACTAATGCGCGACGAATTCCCTCACAAGTTTACATTGACCGGTTTTTTGCAATATTCAAAGATCGAAGCAATCATATTCTATACAAACGCAGAATCCTTGAGAATTGTTTATAGAATTTATTTGTGTCTTTGTGTGTGTGTGTATATATATATATATGCCTTTTTTTCTACAATATAATCAAGTCGGTGATTTTTCCATTAAATAATTTTCTTGTTTGCGATTGACTAAATTTCAATACAAAATTAATATTAATGTTTCTCGTATATGTGATGTGATAGAGAAAACTTTTCGAGAATTGATATTTACGTAGAAATTATTCACTCTTTTAGTATCTCTACAAGCTCGTGCGCAGATTTTGGACTATGGCTTTTCTGATCGATACGAAACAACAGCCACGAATGGCCCATCAGGTCGTTCCAAGTGGAGCGGCAACACTGATCTTTCCGGACCACCAGGTCATAATAAAAATAAATGGGGGGGTGGTGGTAAAGGGCCACCAGGTGGTCGCGGTCCTCCCGGATTAGGGGGCGGCGGTCCTCCAGGATTGATTGGTAAACGTCCTCCTGGCTGGAACAAAGTGGACACCGAAAATTCGTCCGAAGGTGAAAATTATCCACGTCCAAATAACAATAAAAATCATTCACGTCCAAATAATGGTGAAAACTATCCACGTCCAAATAATGATGAGACTTATTCACGTCCAAATAACGATGACAATTATTCACGTCCAAGTAATAATGAAAACTATCCACGTCCAAATAATGATGAAAATTATTCACGTCCCAATAATGGTGAAAACTATCCAAATAATGATGAAAATTATTCAGGTCCAAGTAACAACGAAAATTCTTCACGTCCAAATAACAATGAAAATTATCCACGTCCAAATAATGGTAACAACTATTCACGTCCAAATAACGAAGAAAATTATTCACGTCCAAGTAACAATGAAAACTATCCACGTCCAAATAACGATGAAAATTATTCACGTCCAAATAACAATGAAAATTCAAGTACAAATAATGGTGGATCCATTCAAAGACCTTATCCTGATTACAATAGAGAGGGCCCCCATGGTCCAGGCGATCGCATTTCCGATCGAAATGAATATCCACAGAATCGACAGTGCAGGTACATCTGACTGCCTCTCAAATTAAAAATATATAATTCTTTATTAATGTATGACGGAGATGGTACTTACTTATATTCGTATTAGTAAAATAATTAACAAAAAAATTTTATTTATTTTTAATCAGGGATGACGAATTTCATTGTGGAAGTAACGAGTGCCTACCGCGAAGGGTTAAGTGTGATAATAAAAATGATTGTCGTGATTCCAGCGACGAAGAATTTTGTATGGCGTAAGCTAAATGCTTCTTAACTACGCATTTTTATATTAATTATATATCTTCTTTAAATGCTGCTTCTTCGAAATTCTTTACTTACGACATGAATAAATTGATAATAATATACTTGACTCGGATGTAAACATACTTGATTTCTTCTTTTTTTTATCATTATCTTTCTGATAGCCTTCTGAACTTCTCTTTTTATTTGAAATCTTAGCTTTAAATGTACAATTTTCTATATTTTACATTTTGTGAAATTATAGGAACAGAAATAATGATGAAAGCTGTGTTCTACCTGAACAACCAGAAGGTGGACATTACAAATTGGGTGGTTGTGATGAAGGTTGCGATAAACGTCCTGGTGATACAGTTCCTAAAAACAGCTTCCTCAATTATACCTGTAAAAGCAATTACATGTTGAAAGGAAACACCATTTCCGTTTGTGTCGACAACCGGTGGTATCAACCGCCTTCATGCCTTAGTAAGTTTATTTCAACGGTATATATTTATTTTTAGAAGTATCGAATGACGTTAAGATCTCTACTAGAAATAATATTCTTCTTATTTAATGTCATATAATATAAAATTTATTGTTTATCTTCTCCGTTGATTATCTCTGTAGAAATCTGTTCACCGTTGAACAGTACCAGCGTAGACATTTCCTGCAGCTACCACGGGAAAACGGTGTCCTGTAACGAGCGTATATTGCCTGGTACGCAGGCTACACTCGCCTGTAAATCATCTTATAAATTACCTTTAACGAACGATCCAGCTTACAGAGAGATCACGTGTCTCGACGATGGTTTATGGGATCGTCGTCTTTTTCGCTGTCTACCAGGTACTTGTCATTTGCATGCTTCCTGATATGAGGAATGAAAAACGAAAAAGTCTGGATGGATTGAACGTCGACCGTGCATGTTACCATCCATTAGTAGACCACATGACGTTTTTCTGCAGTAATTGCCGTCTGAGCGTATAAGATTACAGTTTCGAGACTTTATTTTAGCTAGTGATTTATAATCCGGCTGTTCGCCTGCAATTATCGTGCCATCGTACTGCAAAAATATTAACGATATTCTGGTTAATTAGAATGCGGAACGTCCATCGCGCACGGCAACACGTTAATCGTAAATGGATTCGCAGCCAGAGCAGGGATATTTCCATGGCACGTGGGTATTTATGCCAAGGAGAATACGGGCAGGTACCAGCAGATATGTGGCGGCACTTTAATTAACAACAATCTCGTCGTATCAGGTAAATTATCGGGCTGGTGAATCATTCTATTCTTAGATTTACTCTCGTTGCATGTATATTCGTAGCTGCCCATTGTTTTTACGATGAGGTTTACAACAAACTGTACAACGAATCGAAATATGCTGTGGCCGCCGGCAAACATTATCGTGATTGGAACGCCAGAGAAAAATACGTGCAGAAATCGTTGGTGGAGAGCATCCAAGCGAATAGCAGGTACCAGGGAGCGAGAGGTAATTTCGCCAACGACATAGCTTTATTAAAGTTGGAGACGCCCTTCGAGCTGACTACCTTAGTGAGGCCCGTCTGCGTAGATTGGGACAACACGCACGAGAGAGAGCAGCTGCAAATGAGACACAGTGGCAAGGTAATAATACGGGCCAAGTATCAATCATGAGAACCGACTAATTGGCACGTCTTAGCACAATTTAATTAATTACAAAGGCGCTTTGTAATGTCCGAGCGAAAATACATTTGGCGAGATACTAGTTGTAAACTGTATTAACGACCTGGTTTTGAACTAAACTTCGACTGCGTGCATGTTGGGACATTGTTACATCGTGTTTACGTTAATTGCTACGAGTGCAACGTACGCTGCACTCACGCGGTTTTGTATCCAATCGCGAGTGGGAAGCTATTTAATTTTTGTAAAGTGGCTCGTTTCGACCGTCATTCGGAGAACGAAGATAGAATGAAATGTAAAGAGAAAAATAAAAATGGATACGTGAGCTCACTTTGTGATTTCAGGTAGTCGGCTGGGGCAAAGACATCAAAGGCGAATCCACCACGAGCTTACACGAAATTGACATGCCGTTCGTGCCGTATGATCAATGTTTGTCCGCGGTTCCTCAAGATTTTCGAGGATACCTCACGTCCGATAAATTCTGCGCCGGCCATTTGAACGGTAAGTTTACGTACGTGTAAATATTTGCTAGATTTATTTGCTTGCTCTCATAGAGAATTTGTAAGATTATCTCAATAATTGGATCAAGTAATGATGTTAAATGGAGTAATTATAATGATACTGTTGCATATCTCTACTACAAATCGAAAAAAAATGATTCTCTTTAGTGTTTTATAATCGTTCATAAAGTAATTGCATAATTATTAGGTTCGAGTGTCTGCGACGGAGATAGTGGCGGCGGCTTGTGCTTTGAGAAGGATGGCATTTGGTACCTTCGCGGCATTGTGAGTGTAAGCCCAGAGAACAAAGGCACTTGCGATTACAACTCGTATGTTGGATTTACCTCCATCAGTCATTTCCGTGATTGGATTCGCGAGGCCTACGTGAACGCGTAAATGTTTCGTGAGATATATGAATTGTGTCAACCCGTGAAATATATCGCCATATCATCGAGTCTGTAATGCTAGACAATTCGATGTGACGTCAAAACAAGATAACTGCAACAAAGCATT